CCACAACTTAAGAAAAAGAAATATTTTTTTTTCAGAATGAACACCCATCTACATGACCGGATATATCTATAGTAACCTGCGCGCGCAGAACATAAACCGTCCCACGTCTCTTCACTTTTGTGTTTTTACCCATTCAAGTTTTCGCTTGTAACACGCTGCTTTGAAACGCGTCACCTATATTAGGAATGTTTCAGTCAACGCGCGGTCATATATTTCTGCCCTTGTGTTCTACGTGCAGTGTATATGCAGAACTCTCAATAAATGTGTCCAAAAACCCCCGGAAATAACGGGAACGATATATTTGCTTGCCAACTCTGCAATCACATTTTTTTTTTCGTAGTGACGGACATCTTACGATGACTAGGGGCATTACATAGTTGACAGACAAGACAGACAGACAGACAGACAGACAGACAGACAGACAGACAGACAGACAGACAGACAGACAGACAGACAGACAGGCAGGCAGGCAGGCAGGCAGGCAGGCAGGCAGGCAGGCAGGCAGGCAGAGAGAGAGAGAGAGAGAGAAAGAGAGAGGGGGGAGAGATAACTTTATTGAGGTGCTAGGGAACACTATCTCAAGGAGGTAGAGCAGCTCCCACGTCGGAACCGGTAGGCCGAACCCCACCGCCGCGTCGTGGTACCTCTGGACACTACAGAGTTGATGTGCAAGTTCTGAGCGCAGAGCTCCATTCCTTTTTGGTCATGTGCCGAGAATCGCGTGATGAGGGGCACTGCTAGAGCATGCGTTCTCACGTAGATATGGCGCCACAATCTGGGCATGTTGGATGCCTTTTCTCATCTTCTAACCACTACCACCACCAATGCTTTCAATAAACATACTGTGGGAACGAAGACTGGGGCACGACTTGTGTTGAAGCATGGGGAAGGTAGATGCCTGGGCCCTACAAAGTTGCATATGAGTAAGGGAGAAGATCCTTCTGTCCAACTGATAATGTTTGGTCACCTCGTTGAAAGCGAGGAGAACATCCCTAAAGGCCGTTAGGTTGGAGTCTGAAGGTCCCGCAGGCTGCCCAGCGCGGTAAGTTCGCGTGCTCGGGCGTGGGTGATATCATTTAGGTTTGCCATGGAGCCCAGGTGTGATCCGAGGTGAGCCGGAAACCAAATTACGGCGTGTTCAGAAATATCCCTATTACCTAAGATGCGAGCTACTTCAGCCGATACCGAACCAGATGCAAAGGCTCGCACTGCCGCTCGTGAGTTTGTACAGATGTGTTGCCGGGAGTCGTCAAGGCGAGCGAGAGCTATGGCTATCCTGTTCAGCTTTAGCGGGAGTGGTGTTCCTGATAGTGTGAATAACACAGCCTGCGTGGTCAACTGCAACGACCGAGAAGTTGGCTGTTCGACCGTATTGCGCCGCGTCTATACGAAGCATGCAGACTCCGGGTTTGCGCGAACACTCTTGAGCAGTGCTTGACCCCTGGCCTTCCGCCTGTTCGCGTTGAGCTGCGGATGTACGTTGCGGGGGAACGGAGCGACCATAATGTTGGCCCTTCGCTTCTTAGTGAGAGACTGACTACGTTTATCGTCTAGTGCACTATACCCTAGGATTGTCAGGATGCTCCTTCCTGCAGCCGAGGAGGAGAGCCTGGCCGTCTGAGCCGTATGCTGTGCCTCGATGATCTCTTCCAACGTGTTGTGTATACCCAGCTGCTTGAGGCGTTCCATACTGGTATCCGAAGGGACCCCTAGCACTCGTTTGATGCTCTTGTGGATCAGGAGATTAATCTTAACATTTTCGTGACTTTGCCAACAGTGCATGGCAGCAACGTGAGTAATGTGGCCTATTAAAAAAAGCGTGGAATAGCCTTAGTAAATTGTCCTCTCTCAAGCCACCTCTACAGTTGGAGACCCTAAGGATAAGCCTAATCATGCTTGCCGTATTAGCTGTGAGCTTGTTTATGGTCTGTCCATTTGTGCCATTCGCCTCTATAAGCATTCCAAGTACTCTGATTACCTTTACCCTAGGGATGATATGACCAAAGCTGGTGCGAAGCACTATATTTATATCCGGAAGGGGGACCCAGCCGTAGTTATTAATAATAAAATAATTAAATCTTAATTTGAAGGTATTGGCGGTGGAGTTGGATGAAAATATATAAGTCCCTACTGCGGAGAGCTCATTACTGTCTTAATTGAGATTCCCGGGATGCGTAACGGCTGTTAATTTTGGCGGAGTGCTTAAATTGAACCGAATTGACCGGCGAAACCGAAGCGGCCGAGAGGGAAACTTGCAATCCGCGCAGGTTGCCAAAATGGCGTCTTTATTTCAGTTAGCGATAATAGTGGTGTTAATTATCCTGGATTAAAAAAAGTTGCCTCTTTCGGAGAGCAATTTTTTACTTCAGCTATGCTTCATCAAATGTATTGATGAGAAATAAACAATACGGTGCTTGCTCCATTCTGGATGTTTCGATGAGTGTGGCAGTTGCGTTCGTCGGCCTTATACGCTTTCGATTTCGCTGACGATTTTCATTTCTGTGCAAAGATTAGTTTTGGTCCCCTTTCAAAAGTTTCTCAAAGCGGTCGTGGACTCTTCGCCGGAAGGGCTTCGGTTCTCTCCCATTTGACGTCTGGCCGCCTGTCTCCTCAAATTCCTTATTCGCAGGGTTTTCGAACACGTTTTCTCGAAACACGCGGCATTAGTGGCGTGTCGTGTAATATTTAGTGTCGGTTCAATGAGCCGAGTAGCATGATTTCGTCAAAGCTAATCTTTTTTCAAATTGACTCGTATTTTCTCATTGTGGTGAATTTCTATTGGCTGACAGTTTCATAAAACATACGGCCACTCTTCTAAGTGTTCGTCATCTTGTAAGACCGATGTGCACGACAGTACATGTATACGCCGTAAACTTTCGTTGTTTTTATCGTTCCGCGTGGATAAAGATAGATTACCTACTATTCGTATCTTTATTCATTGTCTCATTGTTCATTAAAAAAACAGAAGTAATACGTTCACCCACATCTCGCGATGGCAGACAGCAAGCGCTTGCATGCGGCTTTTCTCCGTCCATTCTGCTTGAGAGAATGTATCCGACGTCGCCTTAATTTTATTCATAGTTTATTTGCGTCGTTAGGAAGTGACAGTGTTACTCGTCGTGGTATGAGTGGCTGAGGCGCGTAGCTGTTCAGCTCGAGAACGCGGGATCGATTCCTAGCCACGGTGGCCGCATTTCGACGGAGACAAAATGCAAAAGCACTCGTGGACTTCTATTTAGGTGCAATTTAAGTTGTTTAAATTAAAAGTGTATCGCCAGTGCCTCCACCATATGGTTTACCTTATAATCATATCATGGTTTCGGCACGTAAAAGCTCAGGATTTTTTTGTAAACAACAATACTGTTAGCCACAAACATAGGAAGACAAGATGTATCGCAGCCTATGAACTGAGGGAAAGATAATTCGTGGTGTTAATTATAAGTGCAATAATTATAAGTTGACTGTAAATGAAGGTGGACAACACAACAACTTGCTTCCGGTGAGATGTGAATTCACAATGTGTTATAATTTGTTATATATTCAATTATATTCATATTAACGTAGTTCGGAGCTTCCAATTACTTGTCGTAGTTTTGAGTAATGTATTATTAATAGCCTTTTCAATACCTGCCAGTTTGAGCTTCAAAAAAAAAAAAAGTTTTCACTCTATACTTGTGCTGCACGTACAAGTTCTGATCAAGCGACCAGCCTGGGCAGGTCGATGGCAAGCAGCGCGAAGAAAATTCTTGATTTGTGGATGTGCATTTTAGTGTCTGCTTTGTGATAATTTCTAAAAGACTTAACAGGTCACGAAAAAAAAAGACTTATAGAGGCCGCTTTGTTCGGCCGACGTTCTCAGACTGATGAGGAAAAGAGCTTTCTTTCCGTGTAATCGATTCCTCTTTGACGTCAGATGTAAAAGCGACAAAATATTTTATTAACGTTCGAGTAAGTTATGTCGCCTCCGCCTATCGTGGAACAAGAGGAAGAGAGAGAGAAGAAGAAACGGTGCGGTCGATGTCATGCGTTGTCCGGAGAGTAAAATGTGTTTGACGTACGAATGTGCTTGTCATCGTTAAATGAAAGTGATTTAGCTGGGCGTGTTCATTCTGTAGTTATATAGACCGAGACTGAATCAGTATTGAAGCGCCTATGTGCGGGCTTGGATGAAGTGATTCTTCACAGATCTAGGCGTGCATGTTTAAAAAAGATTCTTGCTTTTTTCACCCTTGGCGTGGGCTGCTGCGGTGCGGAACCGCGTGCTGCCTTGTTTGTAGTGAGAGAGAGCCCTTAGTTTTGAGAAAGTTTCGGCTGGCGCAATAAACGCACCACGACGGCTTTCGTTCTGTCCGAACGCGGCGCGTGGCCATCTGCCGTAAAGCAGAAGCGTTTGAGAGGGATACCCGTGTTGATAAATTTCTTGATTCAATGTGTGACCTTGCAGTAGGACTTCGCCGCAGATGTCCGTCGCGCAGCTGCTGGCGCTTTGTTTCCGGCGCCATAGTGCATGCGAGGCAGCAGACACTTCCTGGAGGAGCCGCATTCGGACCCAAACAAACACGGCGGTGAAAGTGCAGTGGGAGACGACCCCTCCTGTGGAGATCGGAAGCGCGCCGCCGCCGCCGCCAGTGAAAGTTTTTTCCGCGCGCGACCTTGCTCCACTTCCGCGTCCCAGTGGCCCAGACTCGCGGGGCTGCTGCTCTCCTCCTCGGTGCGCGCGCGGCGACCCTCCTCGCCCGCGCTCTCTCCGACGCGCCGCGGCCGCCCATTGGCTGCCGCTTAGTAGGTCACCGCGCTCTTTTCTTCTCTCTACTTGTTTCTCCGGCGTTCTTTTTTATTTGCCCCCAGGCCGCCTGCTAGCGCTTTTCTTTTTCATCGCCCCCCTCCTCCCGTGCGTGGTTTTCTTTCCCTCGCTTTCCGGTCGCCGTGGTTCCTCTCGCTGCGTGCTACTTGTTGACTGCTGCGCGGCATTCACTATCGTTTGCCGCCGCGGCCCGACCGGCTGTGCGTCGCTCGTCGTCCCGCCCGTGCGCAACTTTGTGGTGCCCCCTCCCTCGGAGAACTACTGCGTCAAGTGCGCCGGCGTTCTGCCACTCGTGCTTGAGTCGTCCTCGCAGACGCGCGTTCGTGACGATTGTGTGCGCGCTTCTTCGGCTGCCATGCGCCTCCTGCCGGGTGGCTGACCCGCGCTGCGGCGAGATCGTCCCGTGCGCGCCAGTTCCCGTTAGTTGTGTCCGGGATTTGCGGGCGCGACCGCCGCCCACTGCTTTGGATTATTTTCGCGATCTCGCGACTCGCCCGCCGTCAAAATGATGTCCCCGTTCATGGACGGCTCTCCCTTCTTCTACTCCACTCCAGGCGCCGTGCTGAGCTCCTCGGGCCCGCCGCCCCAGCCGCCGCAGCACGGAGCCGCCGATGGCTACCCGGACGCCCCAGACACCAAGGAGGGCATCGAGGAACTGTGCCCCGTGTGTGGCGACAAGGTGTCCGGCTACCACTACGGTCTTCTCACGTGCGAATCGTGCAAGGGCTTCTTCAAACGCACTGTGCAGAACAAAAAAGTTTACACATGCGTGGCTGATCGCAGCTGCCACATTGACAAATCGCAGCGCAAGCGATGCCCCTTCTGTCGCTTCCAGAAGTGCCTCGACGTCGGCATGAAACTCGAAGGTGAGTCTGAACCTCTTGCCGCGGATCTGCCGCCGTAGCGCGTTGCTCATGGTCGCCAGGAGCGGCCGTGCGTTTGCGCGCCACGACCGGCTGAGATTCGCTATGTGTGCTTCGCGGCCTGTCGTCGCATGACGGCAGAGCCCACGCCGGAGGAAACCAGTTTCGCGCTGGCCTCCGTGCTTAGTCAGCGCACCTGCCGTCCTCATGCTTTACTTGCCACTGGCAAATCACGAAGGCGCCTTGTGGCCGAAGGAAATTCCTCTGGGTTGCCGGCAACAGAATGGCCTAGTGAGACGTTTTAGACATTCGCACAAGGTTCGGCGCACTTGTAAACGACGCTCTCCTCGTTCTGAACGTTATAGGTCCCGATAGAATGCCTCGTTTTTACTAATTTATGCATATCAGCACACTACAATGCACTTGCCGCTGCTACTATCCCGTCCTTCCTTCGGTAGCTCTCTTTGTTAAAGTTCCAAATGGTAGTTAGTCGCGCTAGCTGCGCGCCTCGTAGCACCTACTGCGGTGTTCTTGGTTTGCGCGCACGCATGTGTGCTGTCTTCGCTGTTCAAACCTGGCGGCGCAGAGGGCGCTGGCGCGCAGTGTTTCGCTTTCCCTCGCTTGCACCCATCGATCGCTCCCTCCAACTGCCCAGAGCTCGGGCCCAGAGCCCCTCTTGGCGCGACCTGAGCGCGGACGTGGCCTCTTTTCGTCCCTCCCTTGACCCACTTCCGGGGGCTCTTCGTTTTTACTGTGCGATTTGCTACGGACCCAAGGGTCGCAAGTGTCGGGCGGTGCCGGTCTCCCGGGTGCTTCGCAGTGTGATAGCCCTGCAGGGACTGGGCCTTCTAGTTCCATTCAATGTAGGGGACAAAAACGTGCAGCTTAGTGACATTCGCAATTTTTCGCTTGCGCTCGAAGGCGTTTGGCTTGTTCTGCCACTCCGTTGCTGCGTCTGACTCATTGGCTAAAAGTGGCTGAGTGATGCAGAACGAGCTGTTCCTCGATCTCAATAATCCCACGATATCTGGCCAGTACTACAGTCAGTCGGGGCACCATCATCAGATTTCCTTCGACCGCCGATTAGTTAAGAATGAAATGACCCACATCAGCGGCTACTCATGGACCTAATCTAACATCTAAGTGGAGGCAAAAAAAAAATCAAATTGTCGATATGAGATCTACCTCATCTATCGTCGCTGCTTGAGTCAGTGGTAGTGGTTTGACCAAAAGAAAGAAAGAAAAATTCCACGTGCATTTTTGTTAATCTTTTCGCGGTGCGAATGTCATTTCATTTGCTACCGTAACTGCCAAGTGGATGTACGGCTTTCATTCGCCTGTGCCTTACGCGCCCATTTCATTTTAATCCCGCCTCGAGGCATGCACTGGGCGGATAGTTAGCGGCCAGGTGTTCGGCGGCAGCAGGCCGGGGCCACGTGTTCGCGGAGCGAGGACGACGCTTTATCGGCAGACCCGCTGCTCCGTTGTACGCCCCGCAGTGCTGCTGCACCTCTCGTCCCCGCGTCGTTTAGTGGCGAATTTCGTTCGCCCGATGAGCCTCTGCGAGTGTTGTATAGATGGAGTGATGCTGCGCATGCTTACACGTTGTCACATTCGCGTAATCGCCACATTATCGATCGCTTTAAGTCTGCTAAGTTCGGTGGTCCTGTGAAGAGAAGTGTGGAGTCGATTCGATGCACGCGAATGTATTTGGGGAGGTCGGAAAGGCCTAAAGTATGAGAAAGCATTGTCCGCTTGGCGTGCTTATAGCCTGTATAGCATGCTGACGCGCGAGTACACAGAGCCGAGTAGTAGTGAATAGATCGTTATAACTGTCTACTTGGGCGCAATCTTTGAGGCGTACTAAGGAACCAGTGGACGGATTGTGGAAGTTTATATCTGAGCTAGAAAGCATGAAATTGACACTAAAAGTGCTGGCTTTAACGCTCAACTTCTCTGTTCGGCCGGCAACCCAGATGTCAAGCTCTATACGTTATTGGGTAAGCATTCATCATATTGGTTTGAAGGCTAAGCTGGCTATCATTCTTGAAGGTGAATTGCCAGAGCCAAAGTAGAAAGTATTCGCCTTCGTAGTAGATATACCTGGTCAAAGGTAAGTGATTGTAATGCGAAGTGGACTAGACCTCAAAAAAGTAAAAGAAAAACAAACTTTTGTTAGTTATTGAGATTACATCTTTCGCCACTTCAAGCTAATATTCTGGAAGAGCGCGTATGTTCGGTGTTCCTTGTGTCCTCGTCTGTACTAGCCACCGCCAAGATGTTCACATCGCCTTGGCCTGGAAGAGCGTTTTTTGTTTCTTCTTTCTCTTGAGCTGTATACTATTTAGATGGTTTAGCGTAACAAGCGAGCACGAATGTGTGACTCAGTTCTGGGTGTATGTATATATAAATATAATAACTTAGGCACTTGCGAAAAATAAAGTTTCCCATTAGCAGCACCGTGGCAGTAGGTGTTAAAGGGACCGCCTTTCTTCGATCCAGTTTTTTCTTGCGTGACAGGAAGCTTACCCTTTGTAGTGATCGTAGCTGCAGTAGTTAATCCCAAGAGCTCGTAGTCATTTTATATTCAGTATTTTTCGATCTGAAAGGCTCTGAACGCGGTAGTGCCGTTTCATCTGGCAACGCTGAGTATTGACAGCGATGCCGGTAGCCTTTCTGGTGGCTTATGCATGGTGTCATTGTTCGTATATCGCAGCATATCCTGGACTATGCTTAATCACGTTTATTCTGCACTTTACAGCTATTTTTGAAAATATCAAGCCGTTACAGTGAGACGGTGTGGCGAGCTTCCCTGCATTTCTACCGCGTTGCCAAGCCGAGTAATCAAAAACAGAAAGGCAGCGCCACTTTAATGCGTACTGCTAACGCAAGCTTCTGCGTCTGCTTTTAAAAAATAATACCTTTTGCTATAATCAAACAATATTTCAGTACTGATCAATTAATTCTTGACCGTGTACATTAACGCATGGTCACGTGACAGGGCCTTAATGGTAGTTTATGTTTTTGCCACCAGAGACGCCACAGGCCATTTTTCGCGATTTCCAATGAAAAAAAATAAAAATCCACTTGTCGCGAGAAAAGCAGGGTTGGTTTGAGTCACCATAAGGGACAATCTTTCCATCCGTGCAGTCAGCTCATTTCATGTTATGGGCAGTTGTCGGTTCCATTAATGTCGGCTGCCGTCCCCTCAGGAAGCGAGCGCGCTCTGTGTCGCCATCTAGTGCTCAAAACCAGGGCTCCGGCGTCGTCGGTCTATTTTTGGGTCATTGCGTACAATGCGCACACCTCCTGCTGCTCATACTGATAGTGCGCCTTTATAGTGTTGCCCATGAAAGGCACATACCCAGTCGTTGCGCAATTTGAGAAAAAATGACTGGCGCCACGTCCCCGCTTTTCAAAGGCCAAAGGCACATCAAATCAAGAATCCGTTCATTGGAGTGATGGTCGTTGAGATTCGATGCTGGGCTGAATCATTCACCTAGTGCGGTTATTGCGCACTAGCTGCTTGCTGTTGTCGAATAATTAGGTGACGTTTTATTTTTTAGCCTTTGACGCGGGGAGCCAGAACACTCAAAACCACACTTGTATGGCAAGTAATGATAAAACCGCTCTACACTGCATGACCGTTGCCCGTGCGAAAGTTAGGCATTCTGCCCGTAATGTTGTATTTGCTAAAACGATAGGGATAGTGAAGCTACAGTGAGTGAACAAGCAACATGAAAAGAATAAACTTGGTGCATAGTGGCGGCTGGGCAAGGACGAACGCTTTATTTGCGTCTATCCGCCATTGTGGGTGTAGTTGTTACCGTGCAGTGTCGGAAGTGCGCGAATGGACGGACGCTCTTCTAGGAGTGAGGTCGTCTAAAGTAGCATCTGGTTCTGGGGCGGAAACCCCTAACAATTACTATTTTGAAGTAACGTCAGTAATCCGGTCATTGCGTCCTCGTTTGTATGTGGTGTGCTGAATTTATGTACAGTTGATTGATTGGTATGTCTGGCTTAACGTCCCAAAACCACCATATGAGAGACGCTGTAGTTGAGGGCTCCGGAAATTTAGACCACCAAACGTGCAGCCAAATCTGAGCACACGGGCCTAAAGTATTTTCGCCTCCATCGAAAATGCATCCCACGCAGCCGGGATTCGATCCCGCGACCTGCGGGTCAGTAGCCGAGTGTCTTAGCCCCTAGAATTTATGTACAATTGAGATCCTTAATTTAGAAGGAGGTGTACTGTTATGCCTCCGTTGCTAATTTCCCATCTAACTTCTCTCCCTCTCTCTTTATTTGTTCTTCGCCGCATGTGATTATACATAGTATGGTTAGAAGACATCGTGATGTCTCTCTTTTGTTATTCATCGAAATGAAAATACGGAGTCTTTCTTGTTCGGTAAAACGGGGCACAAGGGATAGCGGTTCTTGTAGCTGTCTTGATCAGTCAGTAATTCTCAGACATGCATTTAACACAGCGGGCATCTCAGTAATTGTATGAGTGAACGTCATTGCAGCTTAGGTACATAAGTTTCTCATTATGTAGTGCTGGCAATGCGATTCGCAATCATCACTTATTGCTTCGTGTGTAACTTGTACAGCAACGTGACGCAACGTCACATTATTTCGCTGTCATAAGAGTGCGTCAATTGTTGAAGCTTACGCAGAACGGCTTCAGGAACGCGGCTGACACAGACGTCACTTCACTGACATCGCGAAGTGTTTCGTTTGCATATTACCGAAACTCAGGTAATTTAGAGAAAACGAAGTAGTATTAGGACCAATCTAAGCGTACCCTATCCACCATGCATACAGAAGATTCTGCGCAGTATACCGAATCAGGTGCTCCTAAACCGTTTCGGTCCACCGTGTCTCAAAACTCTGTTGTCGCAGATCAAGTTGCGCGGCAAACCACCGCTGTCACTGGCTCCGTAACGGTTTTTCAGCGAGGCCGTGCTAAATGGTGCGGCACAGGGCCGAGCTGTCGCCTTTAT